ACAACACCCACAACTCATCTTAGGATGGCAAAAAATACTACTTCAAGAAAAGAGTCCTCATATATCCGTGTAGAATACAACTCTAAATTCATTCCATTACGAAGCCAATTACATGAAGGTCATTAAAAAAAACTAAAATTGGCAGTAAAATAATGACACTATGAAAAAGCGACTACTACTGATGCAGGGTGTCTGTATCCCAGATGTCATAAATTACTTCCCTCTTCGAGAAAATAATTCTTGAAACGAATAATTTGCCTATAAAACCAATTTTTCTAACACCACTGAATTTCACTAGAGAAATTTAAAACAACTTGAATGACGTTCAAAATGACTCTATGTCACCTATTTTTCATTTTATCTAATCGAGAGTCACAATTTTTATGAGATAGAAAGTTGGATTTATAGATTCAGAATTAATTTGCCCATATAACTGCAAAAAATGCCGCGTAAGTGGCACAGCGGTGGAATGCTCGCCAATCACGCCTCATGTGGTTCGGAGTTCGATCCCCGGCCACCGATGCACTCCTTCACCTCAATAAGCCGGTAATACGATTGGTAAAAAGGGAAGCTTGGGCATGAGGCTAGAAACGCCATCCCATATAAATAAACACCAGTGCTAACGAAACTTTAAAGCTTTAGCTTGAAGCCCCATGTTTCACTCGGAAAATAATAAAATACTTCAAAAAATAATCTTATAATAATCACGATCATTAGTACTAAGCGATGCAACTAAAACAATAATTTCTTATAGAATAATGTACCATTAAATTCCACCCTTATATGCTGCATAGCGTGCTTGCCTCCTAATCAAACTCTCTACTGCTGCTACTGATGAACGTAAAAGGTACTGATTCATCATCCTAAATCCTCACGGATCATGAAATTCTGGTATAGGGTTAAGTCATAGTAGCAGTTCCTAAGGTACTGAGAACTAAGCTCTTCGGTCAATAAACAAACACTATTTAAGAACATCCAAAAATCCTTACCTGATTTTTTTTTAAATCGGTGGTCAACACTATCCGAGATCTATAATCACTTATGTATGAGCGTAATAACCTCGCATAAATTACTTACTAGCTAGCTAGTTTTCTAGCCGGTCCCAAGCCCGGATAAAGAGGGAGGGTTGGGGCGTGGTGCTAGCAACTCCACCCCCAAAACTTAACCAAATCGCTACTAAAACTTCAACGCACAATTATATAGAAAATACTAAAAATAAAAGCAATAACTTTATTTTTCGCTGGAATCGGGGAAGTGAAATGACGCAGGCTGGTGAAAGCCTTCGGGAAGCCAGTCAGCCGATGTGCCTTCTTTCGATGAAAGCAAAAATAAGGATGAGGACGTGGAATGTTCGTACAATGTACGAAGCCGGAAAGGCTGCCCAGGTAGCCGCAGAAATGAGAAGATATGGAATAGAAATGTTGGGAATCTGCGAGAGCAGATGGAACGGATGTGGAAGGTGCCAACTATCGACTGGGGAGACAGTAATCTATTCCGGTCACCCAGAGGACAAACTCGAGCACATCGAGGGAGTGGCCATCATAATGTCACCAACGGCAACCAAAGCTCTCATGTAGTGGGAACCAATTTCCTCCAGGATAATGACAGCCAGGTTCAACTCAAAAGGAAAGAAGGTTACAATCATTCAATGATATGCGCCTACAAACGTGTCAGAACAAGAGAAGAAGGAGGATTTCTACAGACAACTACAAGCAGTAATGGACAAGGTCCCAAATGGCGATATCAGAATCCTGATGGGTGACATGAATGCGAAACTGGGAGGAAACAATACAGGAAGAGAACTCACCATGTGTCGTGAGGCTCTCAGTGAAATGAATGAGAACGGAGAATTATTCGCACACTTCTGCGCCTTCAATGATTTGGTGATTGGTGGCAGTGTGTTCAAACACAAGGATATACACAAAACGACATGGATTTCACCAGATGGACACACCAAAAACCAGATAGACTTCATTTCAATCTCAAGGAAGTGGAGACGGAGCCTATTGGACACAAGATCGAGGAGAGGAGCAGACGTCGGTTCAGACCACTATCTAGTACAAGGGACTTTCAAGGTGAAGTTAAAAGCCTCGAGGATACCTGGGGATAGGTCACAATGCAAGTTCAACACTCAAAAACTGAAGAACACAACCACAAGGGACACTTTCACTGCAACTGTCAGAGCAAAGCAGGAAATGCTACGTGGCATCATTGAAGAACCATGCGTGGAAGACCATTAGAACTCTCTGAATGTGATTTTCAACGAAACGTGTTCAACGGATTTAGGAAGAAAGAAGAAACAAGACAAGGAATGGTTCTAAACGGACACTTGGAAGCTAATAGAGGAGAGGAGAATGGTGAAAGAGAAAATGATTCAATGAAAAGATGGACAAGAGAGAAAGACGCTGAGTTCAACTTACACAGCACTGGACAAAGAAGTGAAGAAGAGTGCTAGGAAGGACAAAAGACAATTCTACGACAATCTGGCCACTGAAGCTGAAAAGGCAGCAGGCAAAAGGAACCTGAGGACATTATATCAGATAACCAAGTCTCTATCCGGGAAGAGACCAACACAAGTGCAACCTATAAAAGACAGCCAAGGGAACCCAATTACCAAGGAAGAAAGACAGATTACACAATGGGCGGATCACTTCATAGGACTCTTGAACAGACCACCACTTGCAACCTATCCAGAAATACCAACAACAGCGCGTACACACCAATCCTCCAACGAAAGCTGAAGTCTTGGATGCAATCAAGCTTCTGAAAGCAGGACCAAATGGAATACGCCCCGAAGCACTGAAAGCGGACCCAGAGACGACAGCAGATATGCTGACTCCATAATTGCAAAAGGTTTGGAAGGAGGGAAAAGTGCCTACTGACTGGAGGAAAAATTACCTTGTGAAACTACCGAAGAAAGGCAACTTAGGACTCTGAAAGAACTGGCTAGGAATCATGCTCCTGTCGACGCCAAGTAAAGTCCTGAGTCGCATCATCCTGGAGAGAATAAAGGACGCACTGAATGCAAAATTCCGACCAGAACAAGCTGGATTCAGGAAAGGCAGATCATGTTCTGACCAAATTGCAACTCTACGCGTCATCATTGTACAAAACATAGAGTGGCAATCAAACCTCTGCCTCAAATTTATAGACTTTGAGAAGGCCTTCGACAGCGTTGACCGCGAAGTAATTTGGAAACTACTCGAGTACTACGGCGTACCACAAATATTCATCAACCTTATTCAACAGCTGTACGACAACGGCACATGTCAAGTGATCCACAACGGAAAACTCAGTGAGGCATTTGGAATAAACACAGGAGTCAGACAAGGGTGTTTATTATCACCAATGATATTCCTAATTGTGGTGGACTGGACTGGATTATGCGTCAGACAGTGGGAAACGAGAAGACAGGGATATCCTGGACCGACGTGAAGAACCTAGTAGACCTGGATTTCGCGGATGATTTATGTTCAATGTCACACAAAATCGAAGACTTACAAGTGAAAGCCGACAAACTGGTCGAAGAAGCAGCAAAGACAGGACTCCAGGTGAACATAGACAAGACGGAGGTTATGAAAATAACCAACCAACAACAACAACAACAACAGCAACATCCACCGCCAATCACCATCAACGGGAGGGATTTGAAAGAGGTTACTTCACTCACTTATCTAGGGAGCATTGTCTCAACTACAGGAGGAACGGACGAGGATGTCAAATCGAGAATCGGGAAGGCGAGAAACACATTCGTCAACCTCAAACCAATCTGGAAATCTTCGTCACTCAACTCAGCATCAACAACAAAATTTGGATTTTTAATACAAACGTCAAGTCAGTTCTTCTATACGGATCAGAAACTTGGCGGGTCACAAAGAATATTTCCAACAGCCTGTTGCAGACCTTTATCAACAACTGTCTTCGCTCTATACTGAAGATCAGATGGCCGGAAGGAATCACAAACAAGAAGCTATGGGAACAAACAAAACAAGAACCAATCGCCCAACAAATATGCAGGAGAAAGTGGAGATGGATTGGACACTCGTTGAGGAGGCCGCTGGGTGACATCGCGCGTCAGACCCTCGAGGAAAGCGGCAAGTGGGACGTCCAAGAGTGACATGGAGGAGATCGTGTGAAGAGGAGTTGAAACAGTTTAGACTAACATGGATGCAGGTGAAAAGTACAGCAGAAGACAGAAGCAATTGGAGACTTGCAGTTGAGGCCCTGTGTTCCACTAGGAACCCAAGGGAACAATAATAATAATATAAGCGTAATTCAAATTCAACTTAAATCTACTCCTACTAAATACGAACTATTATAACATGGTACAAATTAATCCATTATGTTAAATCTTCAACCTCAAATTTGAAAACTTTTATGAGATGCCAACTCATTGATGAAGAGAATACATACAAGAGAGTAAGAGGCTGAGGGGGGGGTTGTTAACTCCTGACATAACCCCTATTGAATGACTCCTACACTTCCTGGAATTCACTATCCACTTTCAAGTGAAGAACAATCCTGAAAATAACTAAATAAAAGGAAAATTCAAGTGTTGGTTTGTAGGGATTTGATTGGTTACAAGATTTCATCATGAGCTGACATTATTTAGAGAACCATTGGAAAACCTGGGAGTGCTGGACAGCTGTTTCGTCAGCCTAGTTTGGGACTCTTCAGCAGTACGCACCAGGGTTCGAACCCAGGACCTTCTGGTTACAAGGCGAGCTCGTATACCATTAAGCCACTGGGACCCGATCCAATGGCCCATGAATTCTAACTTCTGCCAATTCACGACATAGCGCCCTCGCCGAAGACATCGGCTAGGGGTCGCGCTATGTCGTGAATTGGCAGAAGCTAGAATTCATGGGCTGGCCATTGGATCGGGTCCCAGTGGTTTAATGGTATACGAGCTCGCCTTGTAACCAGAAGGTCCTGGGTTCGAACCCTGGTGCGTACTGCTGAAGAGTCCCAAACTAGGCTGACGAAACAGCTGTCCAGTACTCCCAGGTTTTCCAATGGTTCTCTAACTAATGTCAGCTCATGATGAAAAGGAAAATTCTTTAAAAAGAAAAAAGAAAACACTCAAAATCTATAGAAATGAAACACACATTAGCATAATTTGTTTGTGTATTTGAATTATACATTAGCAGCATACACACACAAACACACGCACACAAATGAAATCATCAAGTAGGAAAACAATAAAATTTATATTACGAGCCAAATAATTTTTAATAAATATTTGGTTGTGCAACAACTTTGAAAATTAGGAAAAGAAATATGATTTTTATTTTGAATAAAAGACAAAATATATATATGCATTTGTATATATAAAAGCTTTGATAGGTAGATTGTTGCATTCAATTAAACTTTTGCCAAAGTGTTTCAGTAGTTAAAAGTTATTCAGAAAAGCAACAAAGTATTTTTCTTTAAAAAAAAGAGAACAAATAACAGAAGAAGTAAAAAGAGAAATATGTACACACAGAGATTAATTAAGTCAATCACTGAAAAAACATCGATGTCATCGATTAAGAAGAGGAAGTACACTCGTTTCTTTCTCTCTTCTACATAAACACTTTAAACATGAAGTCAAATATATATATATATATATTTTGTAGCCATGAGAACAAAAGAAAATGCCATTATTCAATTCATATTACTTAATTATAATTTTTTGAAGGTTCGGGGGTTGGGGGCTTAAATCAGAAAGAAAAACACTGACAGAAAAGAGATCAAGTTGTCTCATGGCGAATGAATTTACAAAAAAACGCGATCAGATTCTTTAAAAAAATACAATACATTAAAAAAAAGTTGGATAAAGCAGAACTATTTCAAATATTATTTGTTTCCTTGTTAGTTAGTTGTTCGTTCGTTCATTTTTCTAAAAAGAAAATTGGCTTCATTGGATTTAGACTTCACAGAAAACTGAAAAGAACCATAAGTCATACAAAATAAAGAGAGTAGTAGTGCAAACAAATTAGATTTCAGAGCGCTTTTGTGTGTATGTTTGTGCGCGCGCGCGCGTTCGTGGACAACAAAACCAAAAGAAAAACTAGAAAACAAAAAAAAAACAGGAACTTTCCGGTGGAGAAAACTGCCACAGCAGATGTGCAGAATTATGCTAAATCAGATGAGAAAAGAAAAATAATAATAATGTGAAAACCGGACAGTGAAAAAGAGTCCAGTATACACAAATATAATAACTAGCATGCATTATCATCGAAAAGCTCTTCTTGATGTATATCTATCTGATTTCAGGTATTCAGACAAAGCACTATTCACGTCAGATATATTATAACGAGAGATCATTGTATACAACATTTTCGTTTGCGCTTCTTACGATCTTTGCCTTTCTTCTCTTTCTGAAATATAATTCAAAAGAAAATTCATGTAAAAAGGTATCTGAAGGTTGTTTGTATCATAATAATAATAATAATAATGATATGAGGGGTACTTGTTTTTATTTATTATTATTATTCCTTCTTTGCCTTTTCAGCCTTCTTTAGGAGTGAGCTACGGATCAACTTCTACAGCCGATAAATGATCAATGGATGTGTGAAGAATAAAAAATGCCACTTTGGGCCACTTCAATGTGTATTTATAAATTCATCTGCTCCTGAGGAGCTAGTTGTATTGGCCGCACAAAGCTCACACTTCCCAAACACATCGCTGAACATTATCCGGTATTGTTAGCGAAAGGACACTGCAAGACAGTTACTAGCTTAATTCTCGAGCACTTGGTGAACTCAATCTACACAACTCCACCAGAGTCATCTTTCAAGATTATCTACAAGGTGAGGCCAAATGGTACACAGGGCGTCAGGTTTCGGCATTTGTGTATGTTGGAGGCGGTGACAATTCGTCAATACAACCCCGAACTCGGTATACAGAAAAAGTTTGTCCAGTCTTAAGGGCTTCACCAGTCGTTCCCTGTAAAAAATTTTATTTTTCTATTTATAATTTTACTTTTAGTTAGCTTTTACTTTAATAATTAATTGACTATTATCACTCCCATATGTTCCTTTTATACATTTTCACATTTGTTAAATTGACACTCAACTACATTTATTCTCACTCAATAACAATTATAACCTTATCAAATGTTTAATCCTTCCTTTCTTCCTTTGTACCGTTGAGTACTACATAATTTACAATTTTTATTTTTACTTCTAAAGCTACTTCTGAGTAATTATATCAATTATATCATCCCCTATTGCTCAATAATAGACTATTGCACATTTTTGGTAAATACAAATACGACTGTACAGCCTCTTAAAATGATTTCGTCGATAAAGTAAATTTTCTTCGCTGAATTGTCTTTTATTTTCTTCGCTGACTCAATGGGCATCATTATTCCCCTAGGTTCCGAGTGTAACATAGGGCTTCAACAACACCACTTTGTTCAATTTGCTGCCGTCCTCTTCAGCTGGGTCCACGATTGCCCATAATGTTTCATCTCCTCTTCGCACGATCTCCTCCATGTCGCCCTTATTTTTACAATCAGTGAAAGTGAAATCACCATCTAACTGTCAAGGAAGTGCTCAAATTGATGAACGATTGATATTAAGCCAACCTCCACGACACCTGAACATCATAATATCAAGTCGTAACACAAAGAACACCCATAATTTGGCCTGCAGATATTTACCATTTTCATGCAAACAGTAACAAAGTGTTTTCAACATATACACGTTCTTCTCTCCTGAGGTGATAATAATCTAACTTAAGACCAACCAGATATCACAATTGACAAGACAATTTTACGAATTTTCAAACTAGACATGGATGAATAACACAACTTGAATCAGAAAACTATCATGAATTGTTGTTCACACAACCACCGAGTTACCTGACTGTAATGACTATGTTAGTATTTCGGATATCTTTTAGTCAAACTGATACTTTCACAAAAGGCCAAGTTACGCAATGCCCCAGACGGATGTTATTCACGGTTATTTAATAGACAGTTTTCTAGAAAATCGTTTGCTCGACAAAAATTCTGTCAAATGTATTTCCTATGCACCTCTAACTAAATGTCTTTCATAAAATATTACAAAAACATCTTTAAATTTATACAAAGTTAAAACAAGCTCTTATCAAACAGAGAAAACAGTAAACTAAGAATTTAAACGAGTTATAATACACTGCGCACGTGCCTTTTTTAGTCCAGAATTACACTCCAATAAATACAATCCTAAAGAAACGAAGAATAGAGTCGACTAACAACTGTTAAATCTTCAAAAGAAAGTTGAATGGTCATATTTAAGGTTCGTAATGAGTGGATTCACAGCACAAATAAGGAACAGCACGAGGTACCTCTACGTGATACTTTAAGGAAATCCACTCAAATAAATGCATAGTTGCTGCAGAAAGCTGTAACTCTACTTGAACAACCATCCTATCAGTATCACAATCATGCAAGAAAGCAATCTATAGTCTGATAACCGCTAGTCTTGATAGTAAAATACATATACTATGCCTTTTCAAATTACTATAAGCAGAAGTTATTCAAGTGGAAGTGTGTGAACACAAACTACTAACGTGCTGGCTTGATTTTAATTACGACTGGAGGATTCTTCAGTGACTGTTTTGAAGGTGATGGTACTGGAGATGCAAGAAAGAAAATAGTCACGGAAAATCAGACACCACTTCGTAATCGCTGTAAAGATAGCCCCAGAGGTTGAATGACCCTTGGGAAAATGTTTACAGAAGACTAGATAATCTCAGTGGTCTTGTCCAAAACAATGGATTAGTGAAATCACGTTTCAACAAACTCCCATCACAGTGAAAAGATAAAACAGATTTAAGTTAGATAATCGAAAGCTTAGATAGCGATCATTCTAACGGTGAGCAATGAATGCTGAAGAGTCTGAAGGCAGTGGTCACGAATAGCGTCAGAATTAACAAACAAGCTTTATGTAAAAGTATGATTTGACTGAGGTCCACTTATAAGAGAGGCAAAGGATCGAACAAAATAAGGAACGCTTTAACTGACCTCTAACTACTTCTCTTGCCCACTACTGATTTGTAGTCGAAATAGGAAACTAAAGACTGTCCCTGAAGTCAGGGCTGTAAGCAACATATAATGAGGGAGATGGACAGGTTCGGTAAATTGAGAAGGCAGGTATTTAAAAATAGCCAACTGGTTTTATTGTTTAGAAATATTCTTAACAATCAGATAGTGGAGGTCTGGCGTGATTGTCCCCATAAACGATCATAATGACTAAAGCCTTCAATTCTTAGCAAAAAAAAGGAATTATCTCGACTAACATACTGTCTCACATCCTGAATGCAAAATTTAGTTGGGTATCAGAATTGTTTTCAGCTCTACAAGTTGGATCTTTTTCCAATGTCTACACTGAAACACAAACCTAGTAGCAAGCGACAAAAGTGATAATTATTATCTTGCAGTTACCATTCGACTCCGTCCAATTAGGAAATACCGTGATCATATTTCCTGCTAAAGAGTATTTAGTAAGTACATGAGCTAAACGAATACGCTTCACTCCAACTCACATCACGTCAGGGAATAGGGTAAAATATCTTCTGGCGCTTCAACTTTAAATGATTTTTCAAGTGTTGGTTTGTAGGGATTTGATTGGTTACAGGATTTTCATCATGAGCTGACATTAGTTAGAGAACCATTGGAAAACCTGGCTAGGGGTCGCGCTATGTCGTGAATTGGCAGAATATCAATGAGATGCTCACTAGCGACTTGCCCTATTCAGGTAGGTAGTTACCTGGGGTTCTAATGAGAAGTCGTGACCAGTAGGGTGCAGCAGGTCGGGTGTGAGGACAAATACTCGCCGAAGACATTGGCTAGGGGTCGCGCTATGTCGTGAATTGGTAGAAGTTAGAGTTCATGGACCATTGGATCGGGTCCCAGTGGCTTAATGGTATACGAGCTCGCCTTGTAACCAGAAAGTCCTGGATTCGAACCCTGGTGGTGGGTGCGTACTGATGAAGAGTCCCAAACCAGGACGAAACAGCTGTCCAGTACTCCCAGGTTTTCCAATGGTTCTCTAACTAATGTCAGCTCATGATGAAAATCCTGTAATCAAATGATTTTCATCTGACGATTCCTGTTCCACCATTTTTACATAGATCTTGCAATTAATTTGAAAGAGAATGACGTTGCTGTAGAGCAATAATCGTATTGATATGCTGATACTAACGAATTTCCAATACGTTATAAAATACGTAATACGTAATAGATGACAAGCTACGAGAAGTGTGACCCATCGATCTAGGAATTCAACTTTAGGACCGATGGACTGAGAATTTGAAGTCCATTACACATACCGGAATTTGGGCATGTGAGTGATATTATTAGTGTTTAGTATAAAAGTGCACCTCATTATCAATCAATGGATGAATGCATATGGTTGCTGAAAAACAAATATTTGGATTTGGAGTTGAAAACTGTTAATTCAAGAAATGAGTCTATTCCCTACTTTTTCTTGTTTTGTTCAAGTTTACGAATGAAAAGAATTTTATATAGCTCCAGTAATTGTCTATGTCAGAAATGCACGTAACAAGAGAACACAGACGCGCTGACCTGATTGACTGAGTTTTAACATAAAACTTCCGGCAAAAGTGCAGCAGTTCAAGTTGCCACACTCTAAACAGCACAAAAGATATTCAGAGGGACTATAATAAGCAGAAAAGTACAGGAGAAAGGACAGTGGCATGAAAACGTGATGGTTTAATGGATAAGGGAGACCACAAAGAGTGAATGCATCTGCACCATTGAGAACGATTTCGAGCCATATCACCAATCGTCTCCAGTCATTGGTTCTTACCGTCACGACGACCCAACCAGGAAGTCTACACCTCCCTGCGTGGCTGACTGACTTAGACTAATTGTTGTAGATTTCATTGACTGATGAAGCCATGTTTTGGTTTGACCATCACTAGCTATTTTCCAACTCGATTCTATGTCATCAGAAAACATTGCCCGTCGAGGAAAGCAATGGCTAAGCATGCGTAACACATGCCCTAACCATCTCAACCGGTGTGACTTCACAATCCCACCGACTGATTTTCCCTTCTTACCCAGCACTCGACCGAAGCCAAACCTCAATATTGCTCACCTTATTATACCACTTAACACGTGAGATAGAACGCAAGCATCTTAGGTCAAAGACATATCTTACACTTCCAATGGCCATGTCTCACGGACATAAAGGAGGACGAAACAAACTGCACACGTTCTTTGATTGACAGTCGAATATTACGTCTGTGTCAGAGATAACGTAGGTTGACGAATGCCACTCAAGCCTTTTGTATCCATACTGAGATTTCGTCAGAAACCAGTCCACTGGGGCCGATGCAACTTCCAACCATTTCACCTAAGACATGT